TACGTTCTTGCTATAGAACATTTTATCAGTTTAGGCCATATATTGGCCTACTCCGAATCTTATTAAGAAGAAAAACCTGACCCATATATTGGCCTACTCCGAATCTTATTAAGAAGAAAAACCTGACTGAAGGTGTTAAGTTGTTTTCTTGTCACAATATTTAATATTAAGAGCAGAAAATCACAAAATACAAGCTTTTAAAGAGCAGCCCAAAAAGGGAATTGTTTAAAAGATGTATTGTCCCCTGCTAATGTTAAAAAATCATTACAAAAATAATTTTGAAATAAACTTGCTCATATTGCAATAGCATACAAACTATTAACCTGTGCTTAGGAATTATTAAATTAAAAAATTTTTACCCTGATTTTTAAACCAAACCATTATAATAAAAATAATAAAACACTTCCAGTGACTGGAAGTGTTTCTATCATTTTTTCGCTGTAAACTGATGGGTTGACATTTTTTAAATACACTAATTTCTATGTTCAAATTTATAACTTTTGTGTTACTTCAAAATGGGCAAGTTAATTTAAAAAAATATATATTTTTATGTTTTTTTTTGGTATTTAGCATGGGGCAATACATCTTTAAATACTGAAGTACGTATCGAAAGTCGTTCAAATGAATGTTTGAGTTTGAAACTACTAGTAAATCACAGTGTTTTGATAGTTATGAAAAACTCAAACAATTTCATCGGTTTTCTATGGTTATATGAAAGTAGAACAATAACTTCTTACAAATAACAAAAAAGGTACGTACTTATAAAACGTTTCCATACGTTGTGACGGAATCTGGATCAATGACTCCTTTTACCTTTTGCAATAGTATTATTTACGCCGGCCTTAGAAACGGTGTTTAAACATTTTATAATAAGCTTAATTTATGCCTTTCCAACTGAGCTATAATTATTATGAGGGGTTTGTAGGCCCAATGTCGGAAAAATGAAATCTAGTAATGACTAATGTTGAGACTGCAATTGAGAGGTGGATCTATATTAAACTTCAGGAAGCTGTACTTCACACATGTTACACTTAAACAAATCAAGGAAGCATGTCAAACGACAAAGATATCACGGACACAAAGACATTACGAACGGCAGCGGACCTGAAAAGTGGGTTGGGAGGGCCGCCGCCGCGGAGTTGTAAAAAAATATTAAAACACCCTGCGATGATGCGCATGCGTTTGTTGAGTGACGAGTGCATGGGGATAGGGAGTCTGAGAGTATTTTCATTCGGTACACCTTTATTTCATCTCTTTCATCTAACGTATTGGGGCGTGATCCTCAGGGAGTAGGGCCCGGGGCCCTTCGTTGGGGAGTTCCTGGCGCGGCTCCTGTGCACTGTCTGTCAAAATAGGCCTTCCACGAGACATGAGGAAAAAAAACCTTTAAAAAATTCAGTTTAATAGGATCAATCAATAGGATTTGCTAATTGACAGATAGTAGGCCTAAATTTGACTAGTACAAAATCCATAAAAATCGATTAGCCAATCAGCCAATTTAATATGCAAAAAGAATGCAGGAAAGATTCTGTCCGTTAACTGACGGGGATTTTTTTTCTCTCTTTTTTTAAATAACCGACTTAATAACTTTATAAATGGCCGATGCAACCGTGGGGGGGGGGCTGGGCGCCCGGATCACCCACTTTTTTCAGAGAATATATAATATCTATTGAGATTTTTCTATGATCGGAAAGAAATGCAAGAAAAGAAAGAGGGAAGAAAGGAGGAGAAGGAGCGGAAAGAGAGTTTTTATCGAGTCCCCGACCGAGTTACATTTTCTCGCAATTCACATTGGCGGATTTGGGGGTCAGAGGTCCTAACCCCCTCCCTTGGGCAAAAAATTTAAAAAAAAAAGGGGGGGGGGAGAATTCTAGACCTACCTTTACAGGACCCGTGAGTTGAATTTTTTTTTTTTTTTTACAAGAAAATTAGAAGTCGGGAAAGATTTCCCGCCATCTAGGAATCAAAATCTTCTCGGACCCCCGACTCTCTTATTTTCTTATTTTTGGGGAGCATCGATTGTATTGATTGATTTTAAAAGTACTGTACATGCTAATCCAGTAGATAATAAATCATTATTTTTATGAATGTTAGTTTGCACGAATTATATAAGCAGGCATATGATTACCAGGAAAATTTTAAAAACTTATATGATGAGTATTTGAGTGGCAGATTCAAGGGGCCCTGTGTAGTCGCAATCTACTTCTTGCACAAAAGTAAAATTCAAAAAGAGGAGAAAAGGGAAAACGTCTTGAATGATTTTAAAAGTACTGTACATGCTAATCATTAGATAATAAATAATATTTTTATGAATGTTAGTTTGCACGGAATATGTACTGTCTCTTATACACATCTAGATGTGTATAAGAGACAGAGGTTACATTACTATAAAAAAAAAACCAAAGAAAAAGTAAGCAACTATGGATAGTTACCATACATAAATGGCTATTCAAGAAACAAAATGATTGATGATTCATAATTCTACAAAATGCATAACATAAAAGAAAATTTCAATATATAGGCCTATCTACATTATTCTGCAATGCTAACTATTTTTGAATGCAATGAATTGTTCAATTTGTTTATGCTTCTCATATACTGATTTTAAGGGATTTATGTGCGGTTTTTGTCCATTAACTTTACAGTTATAAATGTATAGTTTTGTAATAAATATTAGTTTATTAATTGCATGATTATTTTTATGGTTGTCAATGCCAAAACATATGCTTTCTTTATTTAAAGTTAAATTTCTTTCAAACCTTTGTTTTATAACTATTTGTACTTGTTTCCACAGCACATTAATTACTTTGCATTCAAAAAACATGTGTAATAACGTTTGTTGTTCTTCTAAGCAAAATTCACAATTTGGTGATTCAACAATATATATCTTATGTAGAAAGGAATTCGTATAAATAATACGATGAATAAATCGAAACTGAAAATGTTTAAGTTTTGTATCAATTGTACATTTATGTAGCGTTGTGAAGATCATATCCCATTGTAGTTTAGTATTGTCCAGTTCTTTTTCCCACCTGGACTCGATTCCATCCGGCACTGCAGTGTGTTTTTGAATTTTATTTTTGGGGTTCATCGATTCATGGAAAAGAACGGTATGCAACGTATGTATCCTATTAATTTTACTGAGGAATGAGAAACAATTATCTGACCGTTTTCAAGGGTGCAAGCCACCTTGAATTTTGAAGAACTTTAAAGTCATTAAAAGACACTTCAGAAGTCGGGAAAGCTCATTTCTCGCCAAAGGAAATCAACATTATTTTTTCTCGGGGAGAACCCTAACGCGCCTTTCTCTTTGGGGTTCATTGATTCACATGGAATCGTTTTCAAGAGGGGAAAACCTTGAACTTTGAAGAAGTTTTAAGTCATTAAAAGACACCTCAGAAATCGGGAAAGCTCATTTCAACCATCCAGAAATTAAATTTTCCCCTTTGGAGAGCCCTGGGGCCCCTTTCTTTTTGGGATTTATCGGTTCATGGAAAAAAGAATACGTATGCAACTACTCATTTTTTTTTTTATAATATGCCTATACTGGTATGTATACTCACATAAAATAAGAATGAGAAAAATTTGTCTGACCGTTTTCAAGAGGGGAAAGCCTTAAATTTTGAAGCACTTAAACGTCACTAAATTACATTTCAGAAGTCAGGAAAGCTTATTCCCCACCATCTAAAAATCGAAATTTCGTTTTCAAGAGGGGCAAAACTTTGAATTTTGAAGAACTTAAAAGTCAACCTCGAGACTTTCTCAACGACAACAGTTCTTTCCAGAACTACTACGTGGTGTACCACAAGCTTAACTAAAAAGTCATTAAAAGACAATTCAGAAGTCGGTAAAACTCATTTCCCGCCATCTAGGAATCCAAATTTTCCCCTCCTTTCAAAGAGAAAGGAGTTAATCGATTTATGGAAAAAATGAATATGTATGAAACTACTCAATTTTTTATGTATGAATACACACATAGGCCTAACTGGCCTATTTAATTGGGTGTCGATCGGTGGGGGACGACAGGGCCATCTAATAGTGTCATAATCATGAATTTTCTTACCTCAGCCCTAATCATGTTGGGGCTGTGGTGATCTAGTTTCCCAAATTGTGAAAGTCCCTCCTTGTCCCCCACCTCTATTTCGCTTTCCTGGAGCCGCCACTGATAATGATAAAATAATTATTAAGTAAATTACCTTACGTCCTGTTTGATCGTAATTTCTCCTACCTTTAAATTGGACGGTAGTATTTCCACTCACAGTGTAGTCACAATACAATTTGCACAAAATTGAAATTTAAAAAGAGGAGTAAAAGGAAAAACGTCTTGATTGATTTTAAAAGTACTGTACATGCTAATCCAGTAGATAATAAATCATTATTTTTATGAATGTTAGTTTGCACGAATTATATAAGCAGGCATATGATTACCAGGAAAATTTTAAAAACTTATATGATGAGTATTTGAGTGGCAGATTCAAGGGGCCCTGTGTAGTCGCAATCTACTTCTTGCACAAAAGTAAAATTCAAAAAGAGGAGAAAAGGGAAAACGTCTTGAATGATTTTAAAAGTACTGTACATGCTAATCATTAGATAATAAATAATATTTTTATGAATGTTAGTTTGCACGGAATATGTAAGCAGGCATAATTATGATTACCAGGATAATTGTAAAAACTTTTTTTATGATGAGTAGGCCTATTTCAGTGGCAGATTCAAGAGGCCCAGTGAAGAAAAATGCAAATTATTCAAATTTAGTCTGAGAGTGCGATTTCTGGCCAACTAGAGGTGCCATAATCACAAATTTTCTCTACCTCAGCAACCATGGTGGGGCTCCATCTGTAAATGTCCCTCCCTGGCCTGCTCTATTTCAAATTCCTGAAATCTGCCACTGTAATTTGAAAATGTAGTATGGAAATAAAAGTTAATTCCTTAAAATCAATTAGAAACAATTTGTAAAAGGCTATAGGCGGCAGAGCTACCGGGGCTTCGCCCCGGCACAACCCTCACCGGGCCGCCCTAGACA